TTTTGAAATGACTCTGGAAACTTGGAATATCTGTTTAGCTGGCATCAATTTGCCAGGGATCAACTAGGATACAGATACAGTATAATCATTGACTGGACTGTGAGACTTGGGGACTTCGAATCTTGGCTTAAGCACTTGGGCAACTGGAACAGAATGGCACAACAAGGACAATTTTGGGATGAAACAAAAGCTACCCTTCAAATAATACTAGAAATAGTGAGATCCCATTACCAAAAGGCAAATTATTCAATCAACATCTGAAGAATTATAGTCAGCAAGCAACAGGGAACAACGAAGAAGGAAATGAGAGTGTTCCAAATGATGTATGCCAATCAAAACAGGAGCTGGAGGAAATTAACCTAAGAGAAACATCAGTCTTGGATCAGAGGAGAGTACCAAGGGAAGACAAAGGGACAAAATCAGCAAAATTAACAAAAAAAAGCCTGGAAGATCCATTGAAGATAGACCAAGTACATAAAGAGTTAGTGGACATAAATCAGATGTACAAAATGGTTTCAGAGTACATGAAAGATGGCAGAATGCTTAGAGACACAGAAACACAAAGTGAAAAAAGAGAAATGAGAGAGGGAATTACTTAGAAAGATGAAAAAGGGAAAAAAAGAAGGGGCCCCTTAATGTTGAAAAACATGTATATATTTAACATCGAGAATTGTAAAAGGGTATATCCTTTATACTAAAAAGGAGAATTAAATTGAAATAAGGGAGCCCTAATCAGGGTAAAGATGTAATATGGTGGTTTTTCATTTTAGGTAAACTAAACTAGATATAAAGCTGGGGCATGGATTTGGAACCACCTTTAATAAGAATGCTATTAGAAGACCTTGAGAATATTGTATACTATGAAAGCAATATTATGATAGTAGCCATATTATACATCAAAATATGTACATGAATGGTTTGAATGTTTGAAAGATGTTTGGAATTTGGGGGATAACTGGGAAGACACTGAGATGTAAAAACAAATAATTGTAAGCAAAACATGTAACACGATGTTTGAAAAGCACAAACCAATGTAGATAGATTGAAAAACTAATAAAATGTTTTAAAAAGGCTAAAAGATATGATGCTGGAAGATGAGACCCTCAGGTCAGAAGGCGTCCAACATACTACTGAGGAACAGCGGAGGACAAGTACAAGTACTGTAGCTCCAGAACTAATGAAGTGGTTGGGCCAAAGCCGAAAGGACGCTCAGCTGCGGACGCACCTGGAAGCGAAAGGAAAGTCCAATGCTGCAAAGTAAAATACTGCATAGGAACCTGGAGCTATGAGCCTTGGTAGCTGGGTGTGGTCAAACAGGAGATGGCAAGAATAAACATTGACATCCTGGGCGTCAGCGAACTAAAGTGGACGGGAATGGGCGAATTCAGTTCAGATGATTATCATATCTACTATTGTGGGCAAGAATCCCGTAGAAGAAATGGAGTAGCCCTCATCGTCAACAAAAGAGTGGGAAAAGCTGTAATGGGATATAATCTCAGTACCATGAGGAGGAGGAGAGCAAAATAAATATTTTCTTTCGGAAAAATACATCATTGCCTGCTTCTTCCTTAATGGTGGCATCTGTGGGACACATGTTCTGTACAGTATCTGCTGCTAAACTTTGAGGGTTCCCCCCCTCAAAACCCCAGAGTTTGAGACCATTCTTTCCTTTTTGTTGCTTCTTTTTTAAATGACCTTTCTTCTTTCCTTGCTTTTCTGCAAAGACAGATGTGTGGAGCAGGCTCCTGCTTGATCACAAATTATTTTGGATGGTACTCCAATACGCGAGCACAAGTCCACGATGATTCTAGCTATGGTGGTAGCTGTAAGGTTGCTAATAGCATAGGCTTCGATCCACCGACTGGCTGAACAGATGAAAGAAATGATGTATTTCTTCTTAGATTTAGTAGGAACCAAAGGTCCTAGCACATCCATTTGCAAACACTGGAACACTTGGTCAGGAATCTCCATAATCTGCATCTCGGCCTTTACCTTGTCAGTTTGATGGCCTATGCGTTGGCAATAGTCACAAGAACTGACATAGTCCTTTACAGTTTTTGAAATACCAGGCCAGTAAAAATGTTGAGAAATCCTCTTTAGGGTTTTTTGTATTCCCTGGTGCCCACTACTCGGATGGTCATGAGCCATTTCTAGTATTCTCAGTCTATAGGCACGACTAACTGTTGAATAGGTTGGGCATCCAAGTTGGATTTGGGGAAATATTCTCTGTACAAAAGTCCATTTTCTCCCCACAGGAAACTAACTTGCTGATGCGCAGGACGTTCAGCATAGTTGTCTGCTTGTGACCTCAAAGAAGCTAGAGAGGGATCATTAAGTTGCTTCAGTCTAAAGTCCTCTGATCCCTTAGGTATCACCTCCTC